CTTTAAATAAAATGTATTATTATCCTGTTAGGAATATGTCTGTACCAAATTGCAATCAATCGATCCATCCAATATTTGTTGAGACAATTCTGGCCAAAAGTGGTGGCCTGACTAGGTATAAGAATTGAGAACTGGTTCCAAATTGTCTGATCCATCAGAATCGTATGCCACCATCGACAAAGAATCTGTCCGATAAGCAGAATTGATAATGGTACTGGTATCAATAAAGTCTTATCAGTTCCTATCCCTAGGCCTGATCCACTGACAGACAGAGTCCTCGACCCCCAGAGCCCTGCCCCTACCTTGCTTCTGCTTTATTTGTTAAAGGATCATAAAGATCTACAGTCTACATAACTCTTATTGAGTGTCAATATTTCTATTTGCAGTAATCCAGGCTCACTCTTTGTCTTGAAAACTTTTTCATGATAATGGTAAAATAAAAAAAAACTGAAGTTAACTTACAACCTTTAAAGCTACGCTGATGTCATTTATAATTTTTTGCCGAATTTTTCTGTCACTATTTTTCATAGATCCCATTATCCTGCAAACAAAGCTCTAATTGGCACTGTTCCTTTTCCAATCTGGGCGCAGCCATCAATGAGCAGGATAGATCTATTTGAATCACTGAAAAAATCAGACATACAGGCAAGGTTCAGAAGACTGGTCAGGCTTCAAAGAAACAGGATAAAACCTGAAATTTTATCTTAGCATTATGGATGGACTGCTTATAAACTTTAATTCAGCTTTCAGTATTATATTCCCCACCAGACTGATGGACCTGGGAGCAAACACCTCCCTCTGAGCATGGATCCTGGACTTGCCAGAACTCAGGAGGTCAGGGTGGTCAGTCACACTTCCAATCCTCTTATCCTCAACACAGGTGTCCCCCAAAGGTTGTGCACTCAGCCCCCTGCTGTACTCCGAGTACACATCACTATGTGGTCAAAACAGCTCCAACTCCATTGTCATGTTTGCTGATGACACAGTAGTGAGATGAGAAGGCCACCTGGAAGAAGTGGGATAGCTATCACTCTGGTGCCAGGCCAACAACCTCTTACTGAATGCCAGCAAAACCAAGAAGCTGGTTGTGGATTCTGGGAGGAAGCAGCAGAGGAACTACACACCCCAGGGACTTGATGGGACTCTTGTAGAGAGGGTGAGCACCTTCAGGTCCTTGGGAGTCCACATCACAGAGAATCTGACATGTCCACACACAAAGAAATCTTGGCAAAAAAAGGTAAAGCAATGCCTTTACCTCCTCAGGCAGCAAGAAATTCAAAGTTTCTTTTTCAGCATCTGAAGGATCTACTCTGCTGCTGTGGAAAGCATCCTAACAGGGGGCATCACCAACTAGTGTTTTGATTTTAAACTAAAAGAAGTAATAAGATATACAGATACAGCACATGACACATTTATTAATTATTCATGACCCTTGTGTTTCTTCCAAAGGCAACAAAACATAATGAGTGTGGAGAGGCATTCCCTGAAGTACCTCAAATAACATGCCTGAGTGGTCCACATCCTAAACAATTAGGAAGAAGTGAACAGTCCATCAGCCAATGGAGACCCAAATACCGCTGAGCTGATGTGAATGAAGGAAAATGGTCAGAAGTGACAGGAAGAAAGAAAAGGAGGAGAAGGGAGGAAAGAGGGGAAGGGGAAGGGGGGAGTGAGGGAGACAGGCAGAGGCTTGGTCCCACCTACAATAGAGAGCATGAGAGAGCCCAGAACGTCCCGCAGTGAAGCCCCGGAGATGGGCGGAATCGGCGACACCACGCCCTGGAACCAAGGCAACCCACACTGACTATAACTATAGCCATACAGAAAAGACTCACACATGGACCTGCAAGCTCATACACATTCATATCTGACTCACACAGTGGTACTCAAACTACAGCCTCTTCACAGTGAATGCGGCTGGCTGTCACAAAACTGAAATGCATTGTTCTTTTACCATGCTACTGTTAGTTTGAGTACCACTGTGTTATGATTCTGATCCCCAACACTCTTGATTGTTCACTGCATCTGGATTACAGTAGTGTTAATGTATAACGCCACCAATCCCAAATCCCAGCCACATTTCTGGGATGAATTCACATCACATTACATCTCAGTGACTATATGAATGTCAGTGAACAAGCCTTTAGGTCACCCTTGTGACCATTTCAGTATGAACACAACTCTGGTTTTACCATGACCAAAGCCTCGGCGAGAGAGATCTCAGTCTCAAGGACATCCTACAAACACAAATGGGTTTTGTCTTTGAACAGCTGGAGGTCATATCTTCATGTGTTACACGCTCTACGTGTTATTTCTGAATACATGGAGAGGCTTTGATCATTGTACAAAATTTCTGATTAAAAATAAAACAGGACCTAAGCTGCCAAATAAGTAATGCCCCTTTTTGCTCTGCATTCCAATGACAATTGCACAAGCCTCAGTCAGAACCTCAACTTTCTCCTTTCCTGTACTTAGATATGCTACATGCTAGGCTTGTCTATGTTGAAAAGACCACATTTTGAACATGGTTAAAAGATAAAAGTGACTATATAGTCACATCTTAAGTTAGTTAGCTATTGTTAGCAAAATGCTAGATAACGAGGCATGATGACACATTTTTGCATATCATGTGGTGAGTTATAAAATGGAAACTGAACATACAATAACAATGCTTGTTATGTCTTAGTAAGCTCACACACTCTGACCTGGCTGCCAGCCTGTTCACCTTTTATTGTGGTAGACATTATTTTATAATTTATGGCAGAACATTAAGAAAACACTTACTGATGTTTTGATGGAGGCCAGAGTCTTTAGCTTCTGCAGCAGTTGCTGGCTCTAGAGAAGAGAGAGATAAAGGCGAAATTATTTTTATATTATTTTACATATTTAGCCATTGATAGTATATAATTAGTGGATAGAGCTTCCAGGTCTGTGAAATGAAGCTGAAGGGTCTTAAACCTGCATTCTTTTGAATGGTTAGCAGGGGGCACATCCACTGGCTGCAAAAAAGAAGTCTAATCGTGCTGAGTCTTATGGAGAAATTAGCCTACTTATGACTTGATTTATTAGCTCAGTAAACAGTTTCCTAGTCATTCTCAGTAAGTCCATCCAATGTAACACACAAGCTGCCATTGTTTCCTTCTATAGACCAGTTGAAACTGTGCAGCCAATAAAGCGAAACAATAATAGTGTATCCATCCGCCCAGCATTCTGGTTTGGTTTATCGGTTTCCAACCTAGCAACCTCAGTGTGGGACTCCAGGAAGATGAGCACAGTTGCTGCATGCAAACTACCAAGAAATAGTTTCAGCACATAACCACGCTCTCCTTTGTTTAATCTGTATGCAAACAGTAAAGTAAAAATGACAGTTTGTGGTTTAGGCGGGAGTTAAGTGATGCTCACCAGAACGGTGGCATGTTTGATCTTCTGAACAATTCCATTGTGACCGAGGTACTGCAGGGAGAGCCAGAGAGGCAACGCTCGCAGCTTTGCCACCGGCTGGCTGGAGGTCAAACCTGCTGCCAAAGACTGAGACAAACAGAGCAGTGAGTCATTTAGACATGGAGAGCTGAACTGAATGCTATTAATCTTAATGATATTAAGAACCAATCTTAATGTGGGTACATCAACTAGCAGCTACTGAAGGAAAGTTTAAATCACTTTCAGTCAATCTGTTTGAAAAAGAATGGCACAAAAACATGTATTGCTCTGTGTTGAATCAATTTGTATGAGATGCTATGAGCCTACCAGTGCTGGGTCTTCGTGTCTGTAGAGGGTGACAGCGCTTACAGCAGGCAGTCCCAGCCACTGACCTGGTGTCAGTGTCATACTGTCACTTCTGTTGGCAGCCTGGAAGGGGAAAGAATAATGTACATGGATACACACATGTCACAAGAGAAAGTCAAACATGAGCTGGCATTTCCTGGGTGTCTGGCTCATATGATCAAAGTGAGACAATAACACAGGGAGGGAGAGTGGAGACTCACTATGCTTGCTTGTATTTGTCTTCTTCATATCTCAGTTCTAGGTTTTTACACATTTATGATTATACCTTTATCTGTAATCACACGGCTCTTCTAGCCTTTCAAAATGTTATTGGACTGAATAGATCAAATTCAGATAGTGAAATGAGTCATTTTGTGGGGGTTACGACGCTCAAAATGTGTATGTATTATGGGAAAAAGTCTTTTTGGGCCATCACGTGACAGACATCATTGCTATAATTACACGGTTTGGCCACTAAGTGAGATTGGCTTCAAAGCCCGGCGCTCTTTCTGGGGGCTTGCTATAGATTAAAATGGCTCATTCTCAGATAACGAAAACACATCTATTATTATTTTCAGGTTATTATACACTAATTAAAACATACCTATGAATATTATATTCAATTTCTGACAATAGATCCTCCTCAATGTTACACACTGGACCTTTAATCTCAGTCTGCGTATTGTATATTGACCTTTGTGCTGCAGTAGCCCTAAATGGATGAGAATATGTCAACATGAGATTACCATGATCGCAGAGGTGGCCTGACCCAGTGCTAGGGTTGCCAGGTTGACCCTAAAGAAGAAAACACAACAACATATAAATGTTAATATAACAGCAGTGAGAACTGGGCCTTCAATACTATACTGGTCATCATTTTTATTTAAAGAAATACATTCTAGTGGTGATACTGCATGTTTATCAAAACAAAACCTTTTTTTTTTTTTTTTTACATTAAGACCATATACTGTACAGAGTAAGAGAATCAACCCACCCCTCCAGATGGAGCCACATGCTGTACTGATCACAAAGGTCCTTCAGACGACCCAACTTATCTGTATGTCCTGCCCCAGGGGTACCTGGGGAAAACACACATTCAAATTACCTAATTTCAACAGCAGAAAAAAAAACTATTTGTAATTCCCATAATGTAACAGATAGTGAAGAGTTGTTCGGATTGTTATTTTCCTTCACCTGCGTTGGCGATAAGCAGCAAAGGAAGCTTCCCAGCTTCTTTGTCCTCTTTGATCAGTTTGTCCAACAGTGCAACGTCCTGACAATGACAAACAGGATACGAGTCAAAAGAAATTCTTTTTAACAATCTGGAAGTGTGTTTTCAAAGGGTTTTTCACTTGGACTCTCCTACCATTTGGTGTTGGGATCCAAAGACGGTGTTGCATGGGACTGTGCACAGACTAGAGAGTGGCAAGCCAAGCTAATGAGACAGAGACTGACATTAAAATCACTTTCTATTGTGTATGCAACTGGATAAAATTAAATTAAATCTGTGTGACACTTTATGTGTCCATATACATATTACAATTCTGCCTATGTTTATACAATACTAGTAGTGCTACCAAAAGAATATTTTTAAAAACATAAAGGGCAATTCTGATATTTTTTACATATTTTGGGGTCTAAATGACTAATTGGTATAAAAAAGGTTTTGGAATTGTTCCAACAGACTGACTCAGTTGGCAGCCGCAAAATGCAACATAATGCAACGCAATCCTTTCATGGGCAAATGACCACATCAAAGGATTTTGTCAAAAAAATCTCCCATTTTATTCAGGTAACACTGCGTTTCACCGGTCGCCTGTCAATGGCATCATATCCCCTTTGTGCCTGCGTCAGCGTTGTGGTTGTCTGCCAACAACATGGCGGCGCGCACAGACGCAGCGGCTCACAGCTCTCCCTATTTGTGCTTTCTACTAAATGTATTTATTGTATTGTATATAGTCTTTTACTATCGTGCTAATTATTTGTTGCACTTTTACGGAGCTGCTCTTAAGGCCTTTTCACACCTAAAAGTCTGGACCAGGTCCGGACCAACGTTCGTGTTTAATTACATTGTATCACATTTGATCCCATTATTTTCGGTTTCACATAGTACCACTTCTTGCCTAGCGCACCTAAAAGCACTTTCATGGACACTACCTACGGCGTGTATCACGCCACGTACGTGTGTTGCGTCTCCCTTTGAATGGTGAGTAGACGGCCGTGCGTCTGACGTTGGCGTGTTGTCCATTTTGGCGGGTAGTCTTTTTCCGTAGAATAAAATGAACTGAGCAAATCCCGTTTGCGTTATTATGGTATTACTACCGAACATAAAACATATTAATCTCCTCTTCTCCCAATGTACTTACACCGACTCATTTTTGCTTGTTCTCCGGGGGTTTTCTTCGCGTTTTTTTTTTTCTTCTTCTTCTATGGTACCGTATGCCTAACTTCCTGTAATTGGTCCGAAAGTCCGAACCATCAAAAAAGTGTTTCATACGGTAAACCGACTGAACCATGGTTCAAGTTTGATCCGGACCAAGACCACTCTTTAGTTCGGACCTCAAATTTGTTGGTCTTTTGATTTTGCACCCTTTCTCACCTACAATTTTGGCTTCGGAACCCAAACTGAAAAAGTCCAGAAGGTCCGGACCAAATGAGGTATGGTGTGGAAAACGCCTAAATCTCATTGTACTCGTGTACAATCGACAATAAAGGCTTTCAATTCAGTTCAGAAGCTGTCATACCATCTCGACTTTTTATCCCAGTCTGAACAGCCGCCATTTTTACACCCATCCCACTGTCCCCTTACGACTCTTGGTGCTTTTCAACTCTAGATTTGAACCGGATGAAGGATTTTAGTCATCTGACGTCTGGATCTTAAGTTATCAGAGAAACAAGCTGAGCTAACGTTAGCAGGAGCTCGGCTCGCAGCCCCTCCAGGACGTCCTTTGTCTTTTGTCTTTTTTTAGCAGTTTTAATCAACGGGTCTGATGATGTCAGCTACAGGCTGATGGGATCTACTCGGTCAATTCTGAAACCTTTTGTACCCAATAGTGATTTAGACTCCAAAATATGTAAAAATAGGGCCCATGTTTAAAAATACCAGAATTACCTTTTATCTTTGTTGAAATTCATTAGCTGCCTCCAGGCAAATAAAGGTTTTTCAAGCCCCCTGGAGGATGGAGGATTTGAATGTTTCTAAAATCCCAGTGGAAGTATAGGACTGGCTCTCACTTGAGAAATATTCACATGACATTTTCACACATGGAGTTTACTCTTCATCATTAGTATGGTGTGTGAGTATCTTCCTTCCTACCTGGCTGCACAGGTGCTGTCCCAGCCCAGGCCTGCCGGAAGCACTCTGGTAGATGACTGGCTGTTTGGAGCTGAGGACTGCGTAGCCCTCTGAAGCATATTCTTCATAACGGGCATTAATTACCAGCCGACACACTTTGACTAGGCCATCCCTGTCATCCTCGTGGAAGTAGGCTGAGCCATTCTCGTACCTGAGGGACAGATAAGATTGGTGTCTAAAGACAGAGCACTGAATGCAGAGAGCAACCAGAGTTACTGTAAGTTATTACAAAGACAAAAGACGGTAAAAGGTCAGAGAAAATACAATTTTCACTCAAACGCAGATTACTTTTATCCAGTTTTCAATCATATCTTAAAAGTCCAGCGTGTAACATTTAGGAGGATATATTGGCTGAAATGGAATATAATATTCATTAGTGTATAATCACCTTAAAATAAGAACCTGTGTGTCTATGTTACCTTAGAATTAGCATTTTTTATCTACAGACGCTGCAGGTCAGTTTCCATGGAGTCCGCCATGTTGAACCACCATGTTTCTACAGTAGCCCAGAATGAAAAAACCAAACACTGTCTCTAGATATACCATTCATGTTTTTTGCCATAGTTTATCCTTTGTGCTTGAAAAGAGGGGCGTACACCACTGGATGTCACTAAATCCTGGACACTGGACTTCCTAAATGACTCAATTATCGATTATCAGAATTTGTTGGCAATACATTTAACAGTTGACCCTGAATTGCCTAGAATCTTTTTTTCACAGATAATCTGTGAAACAATCTGGTTCCTCTGGCTCCTCCTAGAGCTCTTAATGGTATTTGAAAGAATCCACCGGGCCTAAAGGAAAACAACCAATCAGAGAAGAGAAAGATATAGAAGACATTTTGGTTGGAGGCTTAAAGATAGTTGATTACTGAGTCCCATTCCCAGGGTCCAGAAGCATCTATATTTGACACCCTGGACACCTAGCAAATGCACAAGAACGTGTCAGGGGAACCAGATTTTTTTTCACAAATTATTTGTCTCATGTTCTACTGTCAGGATATAGTGAAAGTTTCAGCAAATATGACAAATAGTTTTAATAAAATGACCTACTGCAGCTTTAACTGCTTATTGTGTACACAAAGCATTATGAGATATTGAACAATTATTTAATGTTACACATTTTTAAATTCCAAAGATTCACCACTTTTCCTGAAATGTATTTTTTCATTTGTCCTGACCTTGACTTTTTTAGACCTACTTGTTCTCTCTTTCCAAACATGTTTGAATATTTGATGTTCTATATACATCACATTTGTGCAATACTGTAATATACTTTACTCACTATGATGTGACCTGCTGTCCTGTCTTTCTACAGCAGCTGCTATAGTAAGCTACTGTGCAGGTACTATCTGTGTAACCATCATGTCACTGACACAAACAGAAGGTATTTGTTTGGATCCTGCAGGGTTGTGTCCACGGGCCTACCTGAACAGTCTGCAGAGCCACAGCGTTGTGTCAGACAGGATCCGAGTGGTCAGCTTCCGCAGTCGCTCTCTGTCCAGGACAGAGATGTAGGCTGCCAGGCTGTGACCCAGCAAGGCCATGTGACCCTGTTCACCCACATTCTGCATCCTACTGGAGACATCAAACAACAGCTTTATCACACACTTTATACTGAGGGCTGTCTATTTCATTCCTTACTTATTCAGGATTCAGACCCTTTTTAAGAAATTATTTTCCAGGACCATCCCAGGACAGGACAGCACTTGCTCACAAATGCTCATATAAATTTACCAGTAGGTCTCTTACTGACACATTTAACTCCAGTTTTATTCCTGATGAAGTGTCTCAGGTTCATTACAGGTAGGTGGTCAGTTGTTGGAAGGATGCTCCACGTTAGCTTGCTTCGTGGTGCTCTTGGCTGTTCTGACCACAGCTGATTTTACTCTTGCAGTCTCACTCTCAGCTGAATTGACTACAGCTTACTACAGTTTTCCTCTAACAGTAAAATCGATGTCGTTTTGAAGTATCATAGCGAGCAGCTCATCCTACTAACAGTGAAGTTTCGAAAAATATACGCACTAAGGTTTATATAGGTGATCTGAGTGCAGGACTAAAATACAAATAAAGTTTTTCAGGACAACATAGATCATTTCCAGGTGTTTCCATGACTGGAAAACTAGTCCCTACATCTACATGTAATACAGGTATTCCAGGTTTACCAGGGCACGTGGGAATCCTGTTAATCGCATAGAGGAGTACTTACTCTCTGATGTAAATACATTAGCTTTAGTTGTATTGTGACACTGTTAATTTCCTTATAGCAATCAGGCTATTCTGGGTGTTGTTTTATATAAGCAGCTTCTATATTTAACAGTCCAGAAATAGACCAGATATATGCATGTACTGTACAAGAATTACAGGAACTATGGGTAAACGACACGCCTGACATGACTCAGCTTCTTCATTGTCATGACTTGACATCTTAAAGTGCTATAATCACCACAAACATTGCACCATCTTGTTCATAGTTATAAATAGTTCTTTACTTAATATTTTATGGCTATGGATTTAACATGATTTAGAAAAGGACAAACACTAATGCTTTACTTGTTACAGTCAAAGTGCAAAATGCAGACAGTACTACAGTATGCTTATGTAATTTTTTCACTGATTAGTTCTACTTACTGTTGGCTGGGCTTGTCTTCCTCCTCTTCCCCTTCATGTATGAGGTTGTGAACTAGGTGCAGTACAGTGGCAACATCCTGACCACTGCACAGGAAACGCAAAGAAACCAATCATTAGCTTCAGGCTCTTTTATCACACAACCTTTAAACACTGCAAACTCCCACAATTTCCATACTTTGTATAAAACACAGATAAACCAAAATCCACTCTCATTAAATGTACCTATCCAAGTAACCAAACTTACACATATTGCTCAATGAGCTTCAAACAATGCCCCTCTGACACCGATGTTAACAAGTACAACAGAAACTTTTTAAACTTTTTTAAACTGCTGTATTTCCAACATTTGAGACAGAGCAAACAACTCTTTCATAGTAATGTGTTCAGCAGGGTCTGCTCTCATTAACTGTGAAACACCCTTTGTGTGTGTGTCTTACTCTCCCTGCAGGGGTCCAGGGATGCTGGTTCTGCTGAAGCGCCACCTCTCTGTTCCTGCCTCCAGTTCTCTAAAGAGATGCACAGCACAGATAAACCTTAAAGAACTCAAACACTGAAACTTAAAGCTGCAGTAGGTAACTATATACTAATATAACCAATCAGAGCTGAGAAAGGTCGTTGATTGTTGAGTCTCAGCAAATATGACAAACATTTTAGTGAAAGTTACCTACTGCAGCTTTAAGATACTCTATATTGGTATTTTGTTGCATTTATGTGGCCCAGCCACCAGACTTAATGCCTGTGTTCGAAATTAACGGTAAGGTAAGTCTCTAGTCTTACCTCTGTCCGTCTTCCAGTATTCTCATGGCTTGACTCAGATTCTTGCCCACTTGAGCCAGCGTGGAGTCCACCATCGTCTAAGAGGTGTTGTGTGTGATGTGATGTGTGTGTGTGTGTGTGTGTGTGTGCTGGGAGAGAGTTAAAGAGAGAATATTAGGACAAACATGCTGCTACATGTTAAAGTTTGTACACAGCAGACAGTAAGTAAGAGAAAAGTATAGCTAGTTAGATAGTTATCTATTGAGAGCACAACCCAAGGGTCTGTTTGGTCTGAACAGGCTGTGAAGATCATAACTTACAGTAAACATTTTATACACACCCATTAAAGCCTCTGTTGTTTCCCTTCAGACCTAAAATTAACCCAGTAAACTGGACTGCATTTAGTTATGGGGGAGTCCATGAGAGCAGGAAAACAGCAGCACACTACTTAATTTAAACATCTGATTTTAACTACTATTTTTTTTCTCTCCATTAATTAACACAAGGAATAAGTGACAATTATATACTCTATACTTATGATGTTTAAATTCAGTATATAGATAGCTATGGAATAATAGGAAACTGGATGATGATGAAATTGTCTGCTGTTAAAGGAGTTCATCAGCATAAATCCATACATGAGGGGAAGGGAAATTTGAACCACCACCATAGTGAAGCCATGGGTCTGATATATTGTGATTTTTTTCTTTGAATCCTAATTTTAAGAAAATGGTTATAGTTCCAGAAAATATTAATTTTTTAAAATATCTTCTTACACCCTTACTGATGAATGCCAGGTGGTCTAACATCGCTCATGTCCAAGTCAACAATCTCACAACAGTGTGTATACAGTAGCTTTCCTGGAACTTCTCGTAAACAGCTGGAATGCGTAAAGTTAGCATTTTAGCTAACAAAAAATGTGTTTTTGAATGGGTTTTTGGTAAGATGCTTAAAATAGGGTCTGTGGTTAACACAAGCTTAAGAGATTTTCATGCTTTGTTCTGTGACATAAAATACGTCGTATGTGAATTTTGAAGCTTTTAGATAAGTCTTAAAAAAGGCGGTTGCTAACGGCGGTTGTTGGTAACATTAAAACATGGAGACTTATCTACTCACTAGTCTGACTTTACAGCCCTGTTGTGTTTATTCTCAAACTCTTGCAAACTGTTCTAACTCAAACTTAGAAACTAGATTTTAATAACAAGATTTAATCAAAAAGTGTAAGTTCATTTGTGAAGATTAACTTGCTGAACTAAACTTGTAAGTATCAGGCTTATTTTCTGTAATAATCTAAATCCTATGGGCTTTTTGTGGAAGGAACCAGGGTGATGCTAACTTCCACCTAGGCCTTCTGAAAGATCATAGCCCAGCCCAAACAGCCACTGAAGTTTCATATCTGGGGAATGATTTCACAACATGGTGCAGGTCCAATGGTCATCTTTGAGGGAATCGTGGGACATATTTTGAGATCATCATCAAAGAAGTTGCAAGAACCCTTGCATTGCATCAGAGGGAATAAACAGGGTGAGGACTCCGCCAGAGTCACCCGATTTAAAACCTGTCGAGCTTGTCTGGCACTTGATGAAAGACTCCAAAGGAGGCTGAACCTGGCACAAAGCAGGAGCTTGTCTGAATCAGAGAGGTCTTTTGGAAGATGATCCAAGATTTCTGTAATAAAGTTATTAAATATTTATTAAAAGTACAGAAAGTACTCGTGTCTTGCTCTTTGGATCGTCCACACCTGCTGCTAATTGATGGACTGACAAGTAAAAAAGTTTCCTGAAAAGATCTGAATATAAGAAAACAAAAACTCCTATTTGTGAATGTTCCCTTCCAACTGCTGTCTCTGTGACAGCCACATGATTCACCTGCCAGTAGGAATGTAACAATATAACGCAATATATATATATATATAACATATACATTGTAGCGCCCGCAAAGTCAGAATCACATTGCTACACACCTTTCCATTAAAACACACCTCCATTCATGGCTTCATCCACCCACATTCATCCTCCTACTCCAATGGAAATAAACCACCGATCCCCGTAGTGAATCACGTCCTCCAGAAGGGGAATTCCTTATTTTGTGTGTTGGAGTCCGTGGAAAACCCTCGTCGGAACTTGCTGGCAAATAACAAGGCGACTGGCCTGGTTCAATAAACTAAAAAAGTCCCACACAACGACCCATGTATTTTTTGAAACGTAAACCTAACGTGCTGCATCATGGGTGACGGAAAATTCCCTGTTCCCTTGCGATCCGTTCTTCGGCCTTTTTAAGTTCATTTTTCTATTGTCTTGTGGAGACTGTGAAAAAATACTGTGGATATCCAATTCAATCAGCACCTCAAAAATTAGACCGAGTTAACGAGTTCTTTTCCGACATGAGGGTATTCTTGAATTTCCCAGTCAAAAGATTTTTTCTGATTATACCCAACGTCACTTTTGAACAGCATTCACTGCGGGCATTCAGGTCTCCAATCGAGAGCGGGCACTGCCCGTGCTGACAAAATGCATATATGCTATCCAGGCTATGGCATGATATCGGACTTATCGGTATGGACGTAAAATTCCTGTATCAGGCCAATATTCAAGAACAGTGAGAAAAAAAGAACGTGATACTTCACTATCATGGGATACTGACATTTGGTTTTAAGTGAATTCTTGCAAAGACTGATGGATGTCATGAAATTTGGTTCAAAAATAAGTTCTACCTTTGGTGTAAAAATTCACATTTTTTTCACAATTACAAACTTGAACCTCCTCTAATTCTAGCGCAATAAAACGGTCCATATATTTGATATGCTGTAAGCCAAGCCTCGAGACAGAATACAATAGAAATTCAAGTGGGTGTGACACTTATTCTTGCACACTGTATGTTTACTTTGACAACTGCGCACAGACACAGCGACACACACTTCCCATAAAAACCCTGATCTACTATAAGACTAAGGATGAAGAACAATTACCTTAAATTATCCAGATTTATTATCTCTCGATATTTCTAATAACTACAAAGTGGAACCTAGATAGAAATTGGGGATAAAGGGCACTCTGTATATAAAATCTGGGAATAATATCTGTATGTAAACTAATTAAAGTAATGACACTTTATAGGTACTTTCTGAAAACATTTAAATACATCAACATGTTATATTTGCTTCAAATCAGAGTATTGTGGACATATACGGTAACGATTACAAAAAAAAAACTTTATCGCATGTATCCTAATAAACGAGGATGCCGATATTCACAAAAAATTAATATCGAATTATCGGTATCGGTTTTATAACGATGTTTGTTCGTACGCTTAAAAGCATTCCGAGCCTGCCATAAACAGCAGCATGGGACGTTTACCGGCGTGCTCTAGATGACGTTAACAACAACAACTACAGCTAGACTGGTTGGGTTGCCTACCGTGGCTAACAGCAAACAGCTTTAAAGCTGAATGATTTTAATATTAACACAAAATAATGCAATGCACCTTAAATATTTACCCTGCTTATGACTTTCTTAACCAAACAACAATTGGCTAGAATAACATTAGAACTCCCTTCAGTGCATAATATCAATTAAACACCATTAACCAAAGTAGCGCTTAGCAGCGATACGTGTACTACGATTAGCGTTAGCGCTCCTTTTCAGTATAATACAATGAAAGTTTGAAGTAGTTCCTTATTTGCACCGACAGTGGTTTACATTGGAAACTATGTGCATTATGTATCATCCAGTGGGCATCACAATAAAATTAGGCAATAATGTGTTAATTCACAATAGGAGAATATGTATGTTGGTACCATAAACATTTGTGTAAAAAGCTGCATATACGTTTGTATATCAATTGGGGAAATTGAGAGTGGACAATATCGGAATATCGATATCCGGCAGAAAAGCCAATATCCGGCATCCCTAAATATAACTAATATAGTTATACCTACCTTCTGTAAGACACATATTGTTACTATTATGATCGGATATTTGGTATGCGATGTATCCTGTCTGCCAGTCCTACTTTCATTTTAATGTTGTTAGTTGTTTGCAACCATTTTATTAAAGTTTTAATACAGAATTAATTTTATTAGTAAAGCCCCCTCAGTCCAGAGAATCAGTGTTTCGTTGATCTTTTTCATAATTATGATTTATGGTGAAGTGCAGAGGTTTTGACACTAGAGGATGTTTCACATTCATCTGCTGAAAGGTAGAGAAGAGTGTCTCCCTGTGCTCACTGATGCATGCTGATTTTAGGGGGGGTGTTTATGTTTTTGGGGGGGGGGGCTACCAGCACATTTGTGACATCACATAATAGTTTAGAGGTCATGCGTGTCCAGTATGCAACTTGACAGTGATGTAGAAATTGAAGCGCACCAGGTGCACATCCACCTGAGAATGAACCTTTACAGTGAGGGAGGTAAAGACAGACTGTTCCCAGCAGCAAAACTTTAGAAATCAACAACATTTGCATTTTCAGAGATTCTGGAGGTTTTAATGAGGTAGAAGGAGGAGATTAGTTTTTATGGATTTTAAAGCTGCAGTACGTAACTTTTATAAAAATTACATATTTGCTGAAAGTTTCACCGTGTCCTGACAGCAGTACATGGAAGATCTCGGAAACATCTGATTGAGTCTTATTACCAGGGTCCCAATGTGTCTGTATGTGACACCCTGGGAGACTCAACAATCAGATCTCTTTCTCAGCTCTAATTAGGTGTTTTTGTTCAGGCAAATACCATTAGGAGCACTAGGAGGAGCCAGAGGAACTAGATTGTTTCACAGATTATCTGTCTCATGTACTACTGTCAGGATCAGGATATAGTGAAAGTTTCAGCAGATATGACAATTATACTATATTTCCAATTATGGGAATAATACTTTTGCAGAGAAAAGCATATAAAAAAATTTGTTATCCCAGACTGACTATTTGTATACATGTCTTAATACTAAATGCATTTGTTTGATTTTTAAATGACATAATTATCAATATATTTAATACAAATGATAAATAAAATATGAATCACTTATAAATACATTTATAGTGTGTATATAATAAAACAAGCTTTAATATATATAATGTGTATACCTAAGAATCACTGTTTTATTACAGTTTTGTTGATTTATCTTCACTATGTGTCGACCTATTGGTATGGCTAATCGCAAAATGATCGAAATCACAATATGCAAATCCCAGAAACTGTAATTCCTTGAAAAAGGTCAAATATGACAAAATAGCTTTATAATGACATTCGGTAGTTCTGCAGAGATGCACTGGCCTACAAATCTTGTTCTCCAGATTTAGGAGAACATATTTGTTAGAGACCCCAATACATGTCACATCATCATGATTTGAATAGTTTTTTTAGAGAAAATTAAATTTGGGATGCAAAAATGCTCATTCCTACACTAATCGTGAACCCTGTCACAATCGCAATATGTTTTTACCACATGGTGCAGCCCTACCTACTGACAGTATGTTTAGTTTGATTATTAAGCACTTTGAATGACTATTTAGCTATAAAATTGAAGATTGATTATTAGCAATATTATTATGATTACTACAGGCATATTGCTGTGCCTCTACTTGTTATACCAACAATAAAGGTGTAATTTTATTATTTCCATGTTATACAGGCTTCATATCATTCGCATGTACGTGGCATGGCTTTGACAGGTGCACTGCTGCTGTCATGTTAGCGAAGGAGGATCGTCTGAGTCCATCAGGCTGCTGCTCGCCTGGCAGAACCGCAATGTCGGCAGCTGTCTCTCCGCGGACACATTATATAGGGCGAGAGAGCAGCTGCAATGTTCCACTCAAAACACACGTTTCATGGAGGTTGTTCGCGGCCAGCAGCAGGTTACACACAGAACTTAGAGGGTTAGCTAGCAACAGACACACACATCCACACAGCTGACCGTCCTTACCGTCACTGCCACCGCTGTCAGCCTGACTGAGCGGCTCTGCTGTGGAGGGGGACGCTAGGATATCTGTGGCGAGGAGTCGTCGCTGTGTCCCTTCAGAAGTCTTCGGGAAAGCGAGTTGGAATATTGAATTTGACACGTATTTACTGGCCCGACTTCCTTGTGAGATCCGGCCGCAGATAGAACCGGACAGCTTACTTCCTGGATTACCGCGCGACGTGCGTTCCACGCTGGCAGCGGCGACGTCACGCTCTGGCGTGGGACTGGCCAGTCAGGTGGTAGACAGCTGATGACGACCACGGATTTTCATTTATTATCCATTTATTCTATACCGGCGAACACAGCCTGACTGATGAGATAAACTGTTTAGTATGACATTGACAAATATCATTAGTGTATACATTCATAGAGCTTAAAGCTGCAGTAGGTATTTTTTATAAAAAAATATTTTTTTACAGTAGTACACGAGACATAATCTGTGAAAATAGAGCTCCTAATGGTATTTGGAAGAATCCACCGGGCCTGAACGAAAACAACCAATCAGAGCAGAGAATGATTGTTGACTCTCATTTCCAGGGTCAAATGCAGATGCTTCAGCATGCTGGGAATGGGACTATCTACTATCTTCAAGCCTCCACCGCAAAGTGTCTTTATATCAGCTCTGATTGGTTGTTTACATTAAGGCCCGGTGGATTCTTGCACATGCCATTAGGAGCTCTAGGAGTTAAGGTGTCTGGCCTTTATAGTGGAAGTACATTTATTTAATTTGAAGAACTTAAAACCACATTCGATATTCCTACAAAGCACTTCTTTAAATAACTTTAATGGCAGAAGGTGCTGATCTGACCAGTCAGATTATAAGTAAAAATGTGCCTCTTAATCCTAAATTTAGTATTTTGAATATTTACCCAGATGATTTTGAAACTTAAACAATGTCAGGTCCCTACTTCATGTCTGTTTCTTAAAGGCTAAACAGTGTATTGCATGCTCTTGGAAGAAAACAGCAATGTGTAAAATGTAGTGGCTGAAAGGAATGGCTTTTCGTTTTGCTCTTGGAAAGATAAGATAATTAAACAAAAACAACGTTTTGGGAAATTCAAAATGTTTTCTACAATTTCCTGGAACATCATAATACATGAAATGATGGATGGCATGATAAACTGATTTAACTGCTAATGGGGCTGGTTTCTGTTGTTTTTAGGTTTCTTATTCCTCCCATTTTGTATAAATTATAAATGATAAACTATATGTTTTATTATTAGTGTGCCTGCAAATCACACTACTATTATTCCTCGGGCTGTGGCCGGCCAAAGCAACACTAACATTCCTTCCTCCGGCCTATTATGTCCCTGGCAAGAGCACACTACTATTCTTCTCGGCTTTATTTTTAGTGTCCTGCAAAGCACACTACTTATTCCCTCATACTTTATTATTGTCCTGCAACAGCCACCTACTATTCTTCCTCGGCTTATTATTATAAGTGTGCCTGCAAGCAACTACTACATTATTCCTCCTATTATTATTAGTGCTGCAAAGCACACTACTATTATCTCCTCATCTTATTATTAGTGGCCTGCAAAGCACACTACTATTCTTCCTCGGCCTATTTTTTCTTCCGTACGTTTTTGCCCCACCACTCTCCCCAGTTTTGGTCGCACATACACAATAAAAGGTACAAAACGTCCTGCTCGTGGGAAATTAGTGCTATGACTTTTTCTAAGCGTTTCGCCAAACGGTTTTGCCGATAATCGCAAAAACGGGCCAAAAAATGAATGCGGTTGTATTGGAAGAATGTTCAACTGCCAATAACTGCCGTCTTCCATTTAGTGGAGCCGACAGCCGGCTAAAAATTTGTCTGAAAAATAAATTTTAAACCTGCTCTCAAGGCCACAAATTCACTCCATAAATAACCTCATAGATAGAACGTTGTAAATTCCGTTGTGGTCCAGTGATACCATTGCTTGAAGCTGTCAGACAAATAGTTTTGGCGGAACCGCCTGCTGCCGCACATCACCCTCTCACGCCCCATTATCCCATGTTAATTGGAAAGAGAAGTTTTGAAAAGAGCTCGTTGCATCTTCTTCTCAAACCCCGAGTCACATTTTTAACTTTACCACGACTCGCATCCTATGGTCAACAAGATGAACGATGCCTCACGGTCTTTTCGGTTTTTCGTTTCGCTCGTTCCTGCCATGGTTCGAGGGGGTTCATTTTAAATTTTCTGTCTCTCTCAAGAGTTTAAACAGAGAGAGAGCGCGCCACGTAATTGTGTTTGTATGTTTTTATGCTGATCCTGTATACTATTTACTTTTTTCTTTCCCCTGCAGTAACGGATGGAGAGAGCGCAGCCAAAGCAAAGGTATTATCCTTATTATCTTAACACTGCTTTTCTTTGTCTTTCCCAGTTCCCTTTTTCGTTTTGATAGTGAATCCTTCCTAAATTTTAAGTATGTTTCAGTGATTGCTAACTCACACTCATGTAATCGTACACATTACTCCATTGGAATTGATCAAAACATCCTACTTGACATGAAGCAAGCAAAATGTGGACCAAGTTTCACACAAACTGTATGACTTTTTGCTGGTCGCCACAATCTCTTGTCCATCAACATGCCCTGTCTACAAACACAATTACGAATCCCATTAAATCAGGAATTCATGCATTTCTCTTGTTTCCAATTCGTCTATAACAGCCATTAACGTTCAGAGTGCAGTGGCTTTTTAGAGAAGACTTTGGTAAAGATCACTTGATTATTTAATGACAAGAGACTCATTACTCAATGAAAATGTGAAAGGAACTGACAGACCTGTAACAACAGCAGTTTGTTAAAAAAGATTCCCATTTAAATAAATTAAGTAAACAATTCAAAAAATTTTTTAAATTTAAATTTCAAATCAAATTTTTTATTGTATAACGCCAATTTTTTTTCAATAAGCAAAAGGAAGATTTTAATCTAAAGGACCACTTTCCAAATAGAGCCCCAGGGTTCTACCCACTTGAAACTCCCGTTAAATAACTTTTATTTAACAGAGACCGCCAACCAGACCACCAATGAAGCCAAATGGGCCCCACATTGGTGAACGGGGCCAA